TTTTTGCCGAAAATTGAAAAAAAAAATAAATTTGAAGGCAAATAAATATGATTACTTCTAGACAAAATGGAGAAAAGCTTGGGTTTGAGGGATATAAATTCGCAGAATATGTCCATTGGAATCTTGTACTTGAATACTAAAACAACCCTTTGTTTTTCGGATCTTATAGAGGGTGGTTTTATGGGTAATTTGGCAGGTCAAGTTCTTTCAAAACATTTCTTTTTTCGGAAAATTCGCATTATAAAACTTCAATTTTGATTTCGTACAGAAGACTCTCCGTATCAGAATAGAGAAGTTTACACTCAAAGTTAGTTTTCGTTTTATCAAAATGAATTTATACATGGGATATTTTGTTAATTCAAGACCACTAGCTCCCATTATTGTCGGCACATCGCAATAATTATTTTTTGGATTCGAAGGAAACGCTGCCAAGTTTTCCCCAAAAGTTTTGTAGGAATTGAACTCGGATGTACTTATTTTTCGCAAGGCGGCCTGATAATGTCTGACTATGCGAAAGAGCATCCGATTGCGATTTGAATCGCATTTTTTCCCATAAACACAATTTTTTAAAAGTTTTGTACAAATCCTTCTCAAATTTGTTTCTAGCTTGTTGGCTTTTAGTCGTATTCAGAGTGATATCTTGTTCTAACCATGCTTCTTGTTCAAATTTCACCACACAGTGCACTTTTTTAAGTTTTAATCCCATCTTCACATACATTTGTAAAAGTTTGTACAGAATTGTTTGGTTAGAATTGTCACTCAACGTCTGCAGTATTTTCTTGGTCTTACCAATTGAACCTCTTGCAATTTCTTGACTTATCATCTGACCGAGTAAATTTTTCTTCTAGGGACTCAAACATTTATGGGTCACTGTTTCTTTGGTAGGGGCTAAAGGGTATTCTTGGTGACTGTCATATAGTTCTTCTGGGTTCTTGAGATCAACTTCCAAAATAAAGATATGAGCTGAACATTCGAGTCTTTGCGGATCCGTTTGAAAGCGTCTCCATCTAAGTTCGAAGCACTAAAACGCTGCGCAGAGTCCAGGCCATAAAACTTGTGACTATTTGACGAAACTCTTCAAAGATGCCAGCAAGAAGGAGTGTATCTTACTTAAGATATAAGTTGTGATTATCCTCCAAGTTTCGACATTTGAACTCTCTAGACTTTTCTTGCCTCTTCGAGATCCAACTTTGAAACTGCAATTTTTCCTCCATTCAAAACAACGGACCAATGATGCAAAGGGAAGGCAATTCTTTTTCTGCAGTTCTTTTTCTGTTAGCCATGTAAGAATAAGGGTAGAAACCTCTTTGTCGTACCAGACATCGTTGCTCCTCCGTCTCATTTGCAAAACACTCATTTAAAATCGACAATTTTTGCAATGGTAGAAAATCAACCTTAATACCTTAAAGTATGTGTCAATAAATCTGAGGTAATCAAGGACTACTTGATCTTTTCCTTCTTCCTTTTTATGTTGTGATCTTTCATGTTGTGTCTTAACAAGCTAGTACTTTGTTTGTTCGTGGATTTTTGTTTGAAAGTTTCAAAAGACTTAAAATTTTACAGATAGATTTTATTAGGTCAATTAATTGATGCAGCTTTTAGTTTTTTTATGAAGCTTCAACATTCACTAATTTAGTTACTGATTATAATGAAGGGCTTTAAAATATTTGGGTTTAAAGAAAATGTGTGACTGGAATAAATAATTTAGGAAATGTCATCAAAATTACCTTATCTTAACAAAAGTTGTTGTTCTACTTTCACTTTAGGTTTGTTGTTTTTACTTTAACTCTGTATCTCTTCATTGGGCGGTCTGAACACAGTCGTGCCACATATCAAATTGCTTCTCTCAACTTGTTTATTTTTTTTGTACAGAAGTTCAAAGACTTTAGAACCTCAAATACACAAGATAATTTTTCGGTTTTTTTTATACATGGGACACTTTGTTAATTCAAGACCACTAGCTCCCATTATTGTCGGCACATCGCAATAATTATTTTTTGGATTCGAAGGAAACGCTGCCAAGTTTTCCCCAAAAGTTTTGTAGGAATTGAACTCGGATGTACTTATTTTTCGCAAGGCGGCCTGATAATGTCTGACTATGCGAAAGAGCATCCGATTGCGATTTGAATCGCATTTTTTCCCATAAACACAATTTTTTAAAAGTTTTGTACAAATCCTTCTCAAATTTGTTTCTAGCTTGTTGGCTTTTAGTCGCATTCAGAGTGATATCTTGTTCTAACCATGCTTCTTGTTCAAATTTCACCACACAGTGCACTTTTTTAAGTTTTAATCCCATCTTCACATACATTTGTAAAAGTTTGTACAGAATTGTTTGGTTAGAATTGTCACTCAACGTCTGCAGTATTTTCTTGGTCTTACCAATTGAACCTCTTGCAATTTCTTGACTTATCATCTGACCGAGTAAATTTTTCTTCTAGGGACTCAAACATTTATGGGTCACTGTTTCTTTGGTAGGGGCTAAAGGGTATTCTTGGTGACTGTCATATAGTTCTTCTGGGTTCTTGAGATCAACTTTCAAAATAAAGATATGAGCTGAACATTCGAGTCTTTGCGGATCCGTTTGAAAGCGTCTCCATCTAAGTTCGAAGCACTAAAACGCTGCGCAGAGTCCAGGCCATAAAACTTGTGACTATTTGACGGAACTCTTCAAAGATGCCAGCAAGAAGGAGTGTATCTTACTTAAGATATTATTTGTGATTATCCTCCAAGTTCCGACATTTGAACTCTCTAGACTTTTCTTGCCTCTTCGAGATCCAACTTTGAAACTGCAATTTTTCCTCCATTCAAAACAACGGACCAATGATGCAAAGGGAAGGCAATTCTTTTTCTGCAGTTCTTTTTCTGTTAGCCATGTAAGAATAAGGGTAGAAACCTCTTTGTCGTACCAGACATCGTTGCTCCTCCGTCTCATTTGCAAAACACTCATTTAAAATCGACAATTTTTGCAATGGTAGAAAATCAACCTTGATACCTTAAAGTATGAGTCAATAAAGCTGAGGTAATCAAGGACTACTTGATCTTTTCCTTCTTCCTTTTTATGTTGTGATCTTTCATGTTGTGTCTTAACAAGCTAGTACTTTGTTTGTTCGTGGATTTTTGTTTGAAAGTTTCAAAAGACTTAAAGTTTTACAGATAGTTTTTTTAGGTCAATTAATTGATGCAGCTTTTAGTTTTTTTATGAAGCTTCAATATTCACTAATTTAGTTACTGATTATAATGAAGGGCTTTAAAATATTTGGGTTTAAAGAAACTGTGTGACTGGAATAAATAATTTAGGAAATGTCATCAAAGTTACCTTACCTTAACAAAATTTGTTGTTCTACTTTCACTTTAGGTTTGTTGTTTTTACTTTAACTCTGTATCTCTTCATTGAGCGGTCTGAACACAGTCGTGCCACATATCAAATTGCTTCTCTCAACTTGTTTATTTTTTTTGTACAGAAGTTCAAAGACTTTAGAACCTCAAATACACAAGATAATTTTTCGGTTTTTTTTCTGAGTTTTGGAAGTTTTAATTTTTTTTTGCAATTCAATTAACAACTAGAAATCGCTCCCAAACTGTTTCATTACGCTCTCTTTTTCCTAGCAAAACGATGAGTCAGGCATTAAGAGGCAGAGAACTTTCAAGAAGCTGTAAAACTAAATGAAAGATAAAGAAATTTATTGCAGTTTCAAATTTAAATGTTTATATATACAAAGTCAAAAATTGAAAATCAATTAATCTCATCTCGGCTTCAACGTTAAACAAGATCCGAAAAATCTTGCACTCTTCCCAATGTTTCTAACTTTTGCTTTTCCTTGGCGCTAGACATTGAGAACGGGTCACGTTTTCCATGTGGTTTTTGACTGTTGCTACATGGGTGCGCGTTCGAGATGAGCAACCTGGTTCATCAAGCCATGTTGACACTGCAGAAGAAGGATCAGCTTTCAAGGAAACAAATGATGGCAACTCACTCTAAAGTATTAGGTTTGATTTTCATTCAATGGGGTAACATCACAATTGTATGCACGCAAAGTTCTTAACTGAACTTGTTAAAGCTGAAATATTGATCTGAACAGCAAGAGGTTTGGCAGGAACGTATTCTTTTCAAATAACTCCAATGTTTCAAATTGAGCTCTTCGTCTTCCTTTGACATCTTTCAGGGAAGTTTACACTTTAAAGGGAAAAAACCTTTGGTTATCCTAATGTGATTTGCACAAGTCCACTCGTCAGAAGTAAAATTTTTTTCTTCATTAATTTTTTCAACAAAATTACCGTGAACTTTTTATGAAAAATGTTTTTTTTGTGATT